CCCCCCAAAAAAAAATTTAAGTTTCTTTTTAAAAAATATTTTTAACTTCAAAATTTCAATTTTTCACCCATATCCTCGACCCCCCACCCTCCACCTCCACCCAATCCTACCAGCCTCCACCCCCAAAAAAAAATTAAGTTTGTTTTTAAAAAATATTTTCAATTTCAACAATTATTTTCTACTCTAGTAAAAATAAAAGAAATTTTTCAAAAACATTTTTCATTCATAAATCAAACATTAAAAATCTTTTTCGAAAAATATTTTCTACTCACCAATCAAACATGAGATAATAAGTCAAAAATCAACTTGTTTTCCAAGAAAACATTTTCTAGGAAAACATTTTCCTTCGTACCAAACACACCCTTAAAGTAAAATATATACACAAAAAAGTCTTTTATTCAACCACCACCTAATATGCCTAATATCAAATCAAACAATAAAAAGAGAAACCACGAATGTGTACTCTGTCTAACGGTGTGACATTTCCTCGCATATATATGTGGAGCTCATTCTTTTAGGCGTGACAGCTTTTCCACCCTTTTTTGTACTTTACTACTTTGGAGCTTTCTGCTTGGTAAGGTTGGAAGAATCTTTTTGACTATACCTAAGAAGAGATGAAATATTATGATTTATTTGTAGAAAATAAAACAAATATATTTTCGAAAAAGAGATACGTAAAGAATATGCTTAACTTAATCTTCAATATCATTTGGTTATAGATTTAAGTGAAACTTAAAAAGAAAATAGAATTTTTGAAATTTAAATTTTATTTGGACATTCATTTATTTTTTAAAATTTAATATTTTGTAAGTGAAAATTTCAATTAAATTTCACCCAAAGATCCAAAAAAAGAACTTGAAAATATGTTGAAGACAAATTTTCAAAGAAACACATCAATTTTTAATTTTTTATGAACAAACAATGTTTTTAATTTCTTTTTAAAAATCTATTCTCAAAATCTTTGGGAGCTTAATGATTTGTAGATCAATTAAATTTCAAAATTGTGATAATACAATTCAAATCGATGTTCTATAGCCTTTAGTAATAAAAAATGATAAGAAAGAATGAATTGACTGAAATTTGGATAATGAATGTTATATTTTAATTTACAACTACATATATATTGAATATTTTACTATAAGATTTTTCTTTAAAACCAATTTTTCATATGATATTTTACTTTTATATAATAATATTATACCTATAGCAATAATAACATTCGTTATATTTAGGGTTCGAACGTGAAACTCCTTCATCCAAATGAACACCCATTACCACTACATCAAAGACATAGCTTTTATCAAGGGTGTCCAACTTTAAATATATATCTTTAAATGTAGAATTTGACATATATATACAACATAATTTTCCGACGAATGATGTCCAATTGGACATCCTAGAATGGTTGTGGCTACGCCACTGTTTATAACAATCATATTCGAATATTATGTAATAATGTATTATAAAAAAGATATCACGTAAAAGAACAAAAATATTAAAATAATAATAATTATTATTATTAATGTCACGTATATTATAAATTTTAAATATAAATATCTAAAAAGATAAAAGTATATTTAAATAGTTTCCATAAAATAGGTCAAATATATTTACTTAATTTCTTAAAAAGAAAGGACAGGAGTCATTGTAGTACAATGGATCCTAAATCATAGCAACCATTTATTTCTCTGTGTTAGTAGAACATATTTCGTGATGTCATCGCATACGCCCATTATATTCGCGTAAGACCAAATCTTTTAAAGGAAACGCTGAATATTACAAATTAGTCCCCAAAAAAACGTTATTTATAAAATAATATTTACATAGTCCAACTTCAAATTCCTAAAACTTGTCAACCAAGCTTAGGAGTATCCCTTGGAATTCTCCTATAAAGTCGCCATCCTTTTTTATTTTACTCATATATTCTCTACAACCTTTTCAATTTCTTCAATTTACAAAATATTTTAGTTCTTCAATTACCTGCAAAACACACCGGAAAATGTGTCCCACCGGAAGTGTTTTGCATTCTGCCGCCGGCGCCGGAAAACCAAATCTCCGGTCAGCTTTCGACGTTTTAGACGTTGACCGCGATGGAAAGATTAGCAGAGAAGATCTCCGGACATCGTACGGTGGATTCGTCGGCGACGATATGATTGGTACGATGATGACGGTGGCCGATTCGAACGAAGACGGATACGTTGAATTTGAGGATTTCGAGAAGGTTTTGGATAGTTCTATTAACAGAAACGGCGAGGAGAAGAGGAAAAATGAAACAGGGATGAATGTAATGGAGGATGTTTTCAAGGTGATTGACAAAGATGGAGATGGTAAAGTTGGGGTTGAGGATTTGAAGAGTTATTTGAGTTGGGCTGGGCTTCAAGTTGATGATGATGATATTAAGGCCATGATTAAATTGGGCCATGGTGAAGAAAATGGTGGTGTTACCTATGAAGGTTTTCTCCAAATTTTGTCTCTTTAATTTGTTCCATTGATGAAGATGATAAATGTTAGATTAGGTGAACAAGGATTTTTTGTAATTTTCAATTTTCGTCAAGTTCAAAGCAGCGTGGTGCTTCCCATGTTATTTGAGAAAAAAAGGCGCACCATCATTTTGTATGCTACTTTTTCTGATTTTATTTGATATTATATTGTTTGTTTTGTTTGAAAATCAAGTTTTTATATCTCAAATAAAAATATATCTTTCCATAAACAATTGAATCTACAATTAAATACTACTTTCCAATTGGAAAAATATTGGGTTGACAATCTTCATTTCCTACCTTCAATAGACTTTATTGTCTATTAGAGTATTTTAATACATGTTTTTTAATGTTGCATATTAATTCTTGAAATTACCGTTTCAACATTTGCCATTAATCTTATTGTCATTAATGGCTTGAACCTCATGTATGTTTCCCTATAAATCTTATCGTCCTCTATCACAAAGTGTATGAGATTGATATATAGAAGAGAAATTAGTCTCTTATAATATTTCATTGTGCTGGGTTTATCTTAAATTTTTTTTGTTAGTTTTTGACTTCTAATTTTATATTAGAAGATTTTGTTGAAACGTGGGATATACCTATATTGGATGAAATATTCGTAAGGATAATGTATTAACACGCCTCAAATTTTGGTGAATTCAATACAAATGTCTGTGAAGAAGGTATTTTCTATTAGATTTTCGATATGTTTTTGTTTCATCCTAGGCTAAGGTTGCAGATGAGGGCATTTTTTCCTAATTAATATTGAGGATTGAAAATGGAATATGTAATTCTTTATGTCTATGTATATTTTAAGCCACAAGTTTATATTAAAAATAAATCCAAAATTTTGTGTCCAATTAAAATTGTTAAATAAATTGGAAGCATTTCCTTCTAACTAAAAGAGGTAACTTTTGATACTTTCTAAATAAATAATTCATTCATTTCAATTCTAAGCGTTATATGTTTTTATTTAATCTGCTTAAAATGTACTTGTCCCATCTTATATAACTCTCTAATTCAATATTTTTATATAATTTATTTAAAATTATAAGATTTAAAATATATCTTGATATGTTAGATGAAATTTTATCAAGATTATAAAATTTAAATTTATATATGTCTTTTAAAAGTCATGCTTGATTAAATAAAAATAATAAACCGAGATAAATAGAGTATTATACATAGGTGTGTGCATTCGGACCAATCAGATTGAATATGAAATTTTTGGTTTGGAATTTTGATATTCAAATTGAAGGAATTTCAATTCAAATCCAATTCTTATAAGTTGGGATTGGATGGGTTTAGTTTTGAATGAATTGATTTGGATATTTTAGATTTTCAATTTTGATTTTTGGATCGTTAATTATGATAGACTAACATTTAACAACCTTAATTTACCTAATTGTTTGATCCTTAGAATATATCACTTTTTATTGTTAACAAGGATTAAAGTCATTGTACGGTCATGCTATTTAATTTTATATTAGACGAAATATTATAATAGGAATTTATTGAACCTCTAAAAATTGAAGTTATTAGTATTGGACTCATATGACAAGTAGGAATACATATAAGGTGTAAAAATGTGCTTGCAAATCCTCCGTTTGCGAAATATTTTATGAACAAAAGAAAGAAGCACAATTACCAATAATAATTATTTAGCATTATATACGTAATAAAGTATTTAGGTAATTTAATTACCTGCTAGTTGCATCCTCATTAACGACCCAATCTAAGAGCAGCTTTAGCATCAAGTCTCCATGCAAATCCTCCAAATTCCATCTTCCATACATCACACGGCATTGTCTGTGAGTTCTTCGTGTACAGTATCCTCACAGTGCATGCAAAAGCTGATGAGTTAGGCAACAATATTTTCTCCTTCACTACCAGCCACGTCACCAGCTTCGGCGAATTTCCAGAACCTTCTAGAGGATCAACCATTCTCCGGTACGCCAGATTCACGAGAAAATGATCAAAATGATCCTTAATATATAAGAATTGCTTTATTTTGATCCTTAAAATATTTTACATGATCCATATGGTCCTTAATGTATCATAGAAAGTACTCATTTTGGTTATTTGCCCTAAAAATAACAGATTCCTCTGTTAAGTTTAACACCTCCACTTTTAAGACTTTTACATCTCAAAAATGTGGTTCAAATAATTGAGTTCTGCTTTTGATAAAAGTGTAAAAACCGAGTTCGATCTTGTTTTATATAAATTGTGAATTCGTTTTTACAATACCTTCAACATGAAATTTGCTTGGTTGATGCTTCATCAGCCCCTTGTGGCAAATTTAAAAAGCTGAAAAATGTTGCCCAACAATGTGAAAAACAAACTAATTTTCTAACTAAACAATAAATTTAATTTTTTTAGAAATCCTATCTTTGAATTAGAGCTACAACAGAGGGAACAGAGGAGGGGTGGAGGAGGGACGGAAGTGGCGAACAGCGGCTGGTTGGTGGACTAGCGGTGGTGCGCCAATAGCTTAGAACATTATGATCGCCGGAGAACAGAGAAGTGAGAAGAAGGAAAAAGGGAAAAATTAGGCTAAGCTTTTCAGCAGATGAAGGAGAAAGGAGCTTTGGGTATTTTATATTTTAGTGGGGCCATTAGTTAAATTTAACGGATGGATGTGTTACTTTTAGGGCAAAGACCAAATTGAGTACCTTTTATAATATATTAAGTACTATATTGATCATGTGATATATATTAAGGATTAAAATAAAGCAACCTCCATATATTAGGGACCATTTTGATCATTTTCTCTAAAAATGTCAGATTTCCAGATTTTAAAAATTTATTATACTACTTTCAATATTCATAATTTTTTTTTTAAAATATCACAAGTTCTATTCATAATTCAAAAAATCGAAATCAAATATCTTAAAAATTCAAATTTGGGAATGGCCCAAAGTATAGTAAAATCTCATTAAATTAATACTCGGTAAATTAATAATCTCTCAAAAATAATATTTTTCTCCGGTCCCGACTTGGGCCAATGGAAAAAATCTCACATTTCGATAAGATAATAAGATATAGATTTTAAGGAGACCCCTATATAATTATATGGTCCCATTAATATTATAAATTAATATTTCTTTAAAAGTACAAATATATCTAAGACAATTTATTGAAATATGATTCTACAATGTTTTGTTTTATCGTAAAATTTAATTCTAGTTAATGTTCATTTCTAACTTTTGTTATTGTATCCAAAAGTTTCAATGTTTCTTTTCAAACTGCACAATAAAACTATGAAGAGTTTTAGATGCGATAAGTGTTTCGTTACTCATCACTGCTTCCAAAGGTATTGTATCATCTTCAACTTCATCATCAACATTGTATTTTTTTTCGAAGATATCCTCAATTTCTTCTAAGCTCTAGACTCCTAAACATGTCATTTTCATCCGGGGAATCAACAGGTTATTGACGTCAATTTTATTGCGGTAACATTGATCATTAATCATGACCCCAAGTGCATGAATGACGTTTTCACAAGTGGGTTCATTCAGATTCTCTGAGATTTCGTCCCCCCAACGAATTTTGTAGTGTTGAAAACAATTTTCTATTATTTCTTGCTGAACATTTGTTGTCCATGTCGAGATTGCGAAATCAATAACATCAAAACATTAATCTTTCCTATATCTGTTTTTCCCACTTCCTAGCTTTCTAATATTCTATGATAAAATATGTTGCAATAATACATCTTGGAAGCTCTTATTATTTCAGCATCACAAGATTGAATCTCGAAATATTCTTTAAATTAATAAATATTAATTTATCAATTAAATAATACCTCTATAAAATAATAATATTTTATGGTCCACTTATATTAATTTAGTGAGATTTTACTGTATGCCCATTAATACAGTAAAACCTCTATAAATTAATACTCGATAAATTAATAATCTCTCTAAAGTAATATTTTCCTTCGGTTCTGACTTGGGCCAATGGAAAAAATCACCAATTTCGATAAGATAATAAGATAATATATTTTCAGAAGACCCCTATATAAATATATGGTCCCATTAATATCATAAATTAATAATTCTTTAAACGTACAAATATATCTAAGACAATTTAGTGAAATATGATTCTATTGTGTTCTGTTTTTTCTTAAAATTTAAATCTAGTTGAAGCTCATCTCTAACTTTTCTTATTGCATCCAAGATCTCCGGTGTTGTCTTTTCTAACTACACCATAAAATTATGAAGAGTTCTAGATGCAATAAGTGCTTCCTTACGCGTAACTGGTTCCAAAGATATAATATCATATTCAACTTCATCAACATTGCTTTTTCCGATGGTATCCACAATTTCTTCTAAGCTTTGGACCTCTGGACATGTATCACTTTCGCTCGGATAATCCAACAAGTTATTGACAATCATTTTATTGTGGTAACCGAGATCATTAATCATGACCTCAAGTTCATGAATGACGTTTTCACAAGTGGGTTCGTTCAAATTCTCTGAGATTGCATCCCCCGAACAAATTTTACAGTGTCGAAAATAATTTGCTATTGGCTCTTGCTGAACATTTGTTGTCCATGCTCTTTTGTTTGCACGATAGTGACAATTCAACAAATATGATACATAAATTAGTAAGATATAATAATTTTGATGTATTCGTTGTACTTTATGTATAATATTTTTATATGTGAAATCAATAAATATGATATATAAATTAGTAAGATATAATGATTTTGATATAATCAAAATTAATCTCATTAAATCTCAAATCATTCTTTAAATTAATAAATATTAATTTATTGATTAAATAATATCTCTATAAAATAATAAAATTTTATGGTCCTACCTATATTAATTTATAAAGATTTTACTATAGTATGAAATTTCAGATCGGATAGCAACGTTGACTGCTAATGTAAAAAGCATTAATTAAGATTGGAAAGATCCAATGTAATTTATATTTAAAGTATTTGACCAGCTTTTGATGTGATTAAGATTCACATTTTATAAGCACTGCCCAATCAGAACACACATGATTATATAAAGAAAAAATTACCCCACGTATATATTTAAAAAATAATATTACGGATTTTAAATCTACTTTTAAAATATTACTACTTATAACATTTTAATTGTGAGTTATAACATATCATTTTTTATTAAAAAATAATTAATTCATTTTTATTAA